CAATTTACAGTGTTTTGAATTTGCGCCTAATATCCAAAAGGAAACGCCAATCAAATGGGCAAGTATAGCAATGCTAAATTTTACAGACGCATTAACGAAGTAATATTAACACTCAATATCAAAAAGAACTCGGTGCTGAACAGGATTCGACTAGAGTTTACCCATAAGATCAGCCAATAAAGAAGACGTTAACACAGATGTCCTCAAGCTTAAGCACACATGAGTAATTAAAAGGCTGCTCCTTAATAGAGAGGAAAAGGAGAATGCATTCGATATGTTATGTTTCCAGCGCCGACCGGCTTGACCACTACGACGAATAGTGGAAAATATTGGTGATCTGTGTCAAATATTTGCAAGTTAACAAAACTCGAACAGAGACTTAGGACCTCAAAATGATCAAAAAACACGAAAATAGCATAGTTGTCAGGACATGCAGCCAACTCAAGAGATAGGCTACCCAATACAAATATCCGAAAACTGACTCCAGACGCCTGTCAAATACTTCATATTTAACCATTGCGGAAAGAACGAATGGTTACGAAAAACTTTAAGGTTAAGCGATCAAAGGCAAAAAATAGCGTACTGAAGTGTAAATGTAATGTAATGGAGTGTAAGTAATACTTTAAAAGGCATTACTTCCAAAAGGATCGACAAAGCAAAGCTGACCTTGTGAAGAAGAGAGCAGGTTATGGCGACAGGAACAATTGTTCCTCCCTTCATATGTGATTCAATCACAGCAGAGAACTTCGAATTCGGTGTATTCAATTCCTTTCGCAACAGTTCGCCAGCGGACAAATGAATCATGTTAAAATGCTGAAATTCAAATAAAACATGCCAACAACAATGTTGAGGAAGCAAATGTGAGACAATCGAGGTTAATTAAAAATTAAAAACAATAAAGCATGTCAAGAGGAGCAGAAAACGATTACCGAAGCTATCGGAGGGCAGATGGTGCCTTTACCAGAACCTGGTCCTCCAAGCATAAAAACTACACCAAACGGCTCTGTACAGTTGTGAACGGAGTTGCTATTAGCTGCCATTGAAGTGCTAAAATATTTACACAGACCTAAAGTTCTTTTCAATAATGAAATAGAATTGTAAAGGATGCAATATGTACGACACAAACAATGCATCGCACTATCAAATCACGCAGCCGTAAACACACACGCACCACCTGCTTTCGGAAGACGCGGAACAAGATAAGGCAAGCTGAAAATGAACGTACAACTCACGCATTTAAACGACAAGTTTAACTATACAATATGAATTTCAGCAAGCACAAAACTGTAAAAATGAGACCTAGTCTTTAAATCTCGGTTTATTTGCTTCCTGCGGAACTCAATCCTTATAGGCGGATGCCAGTGCGTATCACATGGTGCCACTCTGCTCACAGGCTCATCTAATTCCGCCTTCAAAAGTCGAGAATCGCTCTCGAATTACCCTGTTATACTCTTTTAGTGCAGCCACCTACTGTCTAGTAGTTAATTTATTATTCAAATTGATCTTGTACGCGTGGGTCGGTCTTCGCTTCAAGTTAAGGTTTAATTCCTTCTCCTTCAAAAAAATTTATCCTGTAGTACCCAATACTTTTATACCAGGTAATAGGCATTCAGTTAATGAATACATATATTCTAAAAGGATGAGGAGAATCGGACCTTCGCTAGGTCCAGAGGCCAGCTCAATATAACAAGCACTCACAATATTTTCTGCTGTAAAGTATTCGTATATTATCTTTCCTTCTGTGAAAAGCGCCATCTCTACACCATAGTTACATGCCAAAAATAATGGAAGCATGGGTAGAAGATGTTATAAAAGCCTCCGCATCGCCTTCTAATGCCAGCGGTGTTGCATCTTGAGTTTTCCCACCGAGAGGTAGAAGGCATTAAGTGGTCCAAAAGTAACCAAGTGGTTGTAAAAAGTATTACATGCAGGACGAGCAGTCGACTTGGTACTCGTAGTACCCCTGTCCATGTAGGCTGGTGTCTGCGCAAGCCAAAGTCCTGACTACCTGATGTTTGGTAGTAGAAGGCATAAGTGAGGTTGAATATATGTATTCCGAAAACAATAGGAGAAATGGGGCCTGAGCGTAGCCCGAAGGCCAGCCCACGTGTACTGGGCTTAGACAAGTGCTAAAGTCACCGCCAAACGTCAGATAGTCACACAAACAAAACATTACACTGCCCCTGTCTTCTTTTGAGCGACGTCCTCGGCGCTACCCTTTGGTACACCTCCTGCG